AACGATCACAGGAGGACCGAGTCTTAGCAGGGCTAGTGGGGTGGTTTTCGCCCGACGGCAAGGGGTCTGGTGCCGCCATGCCTGCGGATGTAGTCGCCGAAGCTGCAGCTGGAATTTGGAGATGGAAATATCATGAGACAATATAAGGAGAGAATTTGGGGGGGAAAGAGCCTTGAGGGTGAAATAGAGCATGGGGGCACCATGATAAACACGTATTTCGGCTTAGCAATGTAGTCAGATTCGGCGTTTCAAGCTGCACGTTCGGAGCTTCAGGATCGTCAGCATTGTCACAAGCTCATAGCTCATCCTCCTAGAAGCTATGCAAGCCACCAAGTACATCCTCTTTATAAAGAGGTGGATATCTCTGTCACGTCTCTGAAGATAGAACAAGCTTCGTGTGCTCTCAAGCTTACCGTAACTCGCCCTGCAATTACTTATCACTATGGTCTCTCTCTCGGCCGTTCTCACGTCCAACTCTCTCATCCGTTCCTCTCTCCCCCCAGGCCTCGTTGCTGTCTTCATCGGCGCAACGAGCGGCATTGGCGAAATCAGTGTTAAGACGTTCGCCAAATACGCCCGCAAGCCGCGTGTCTATATCGTCGGGCGCTCCCAAGATGCCGCAGATCGCATTCTGGCAGAGTGCGCATCGCTGAATCCGGAAGGCCAGTTCAGCTTTACTCAAGCAGACGTAAGCCTCATCCGCGGTGTGGATGAGCTATGTGGGAAGATCAAGGCCAAAGAGAACTCTTTGAATCTTCTGTTCCTCAGCGCAGGAGTGAGAAGCCTGGACCGAAAGCGTATGTTATTATACTGAGCCTCGCCCCTCCATGATGGTTGCCAGTCAGAGCCTTGTGCTAAAATAGGGACTCACCCTAGAAACAACCGAGGGCTTGCACCTGATAGCAGCCCTGAACTACTACTCGCGCGTGCGTGTGATCAGCAACCTCCTTCCACTCTTGCAAAAAGCCACCTCTCTTCGCCGCATCGTTACTGTAGGAGGCGGCGGATACGAGGGCGCAATTGACACCACCGACTTCCAAGCGCTGCGAGTTCCCCTTCCCGAACTTCGCTCGCACCTAATTACACTGATCACCCTCGGCCTTGAGGCCGTAGCAAGAACGGCCCCAGAGGTCAGCATCGTCCACGACTACCCCGGTACGGTCAAGACACCACTCCTGAAGGACCTGTCTGAGGAGATGTTGAGGGACACTGTCTTTGTGCCGTTGGAAGAGTGCGGCGAGAGACATGTGTACTTGGCAACCAGTGCGAAATATCCCCCTGGGAGTGGTGGCAGCGTCGGAGTGCCACTAGGCGATGGTTTGGAAGTGGCATCGGGCTCCACCGGTGAGCCTGGTAATGGGATATACTCGGTCGGACAAGATGGGGAGGGTACTTCTCTCGCGGTACAAGAGTTATTGGCTGATTTAAGGGGAAAGGGGGTTGTAGATGCAGTTCGGCACCATACAGAAGCGGAGTTCAAGCGCATTACGGGGGAATAAAGCAGGCAATAAACCCAACCACGAGATCCCCTGGCTAAGCTCCGAGAGGTTCTAACCCCATTACATATCCCATGGTGTTAGGAAGCATGTTTTTATTTTGTTATATCTGCTTGGCCAGCTATTCGGCAAAGGGCTTATCACTACCATGTTCCTTACAAGCCCATCTGGTTTATCTATCAGCAATAGATGGCCAGCGTTGCACTTTTCTAGTTAACACGCGACATGAAACGAAGTTGCAGTTTTGGAATATCCATTAACATAATCCCGAATACTCCCTTCCAGACGCTGCTCGCATTTCCTTTCCATGCCAGTTAGTCACCAGAAACGTTTCAAACATAGTGCCGCACCGATCTACTACGCCTTCAAAGGTCATCAACACCCCCTTTAGACCCTAATACCAACCGAGACCTTAGTGAATATATGATAGACTTCCCATGCCAAAGTGATACCAATCAACTAGAAAAAATTAAGAAAAGCCCGACACGGCAACGAGTAAGTACTGACCACCATTTTTCTAGGAGCATCCGCAAATTGTCCCTTCAGTGAATCGGTTGAAAATGAACCATTCGAACAGACCCCACCAAAACAGCAATTATGCAAGCGCAAAAGTGATTGCAGTATAATAAGCAAGCTTCCCTTTACGTATTTCGTTGCTCTTTCTTCTCCTGCCTAGCCCCCTCAGACCTCCTGGCCTCGAACTTAATGAAATTGTCAGTCATGCAATATCAGAGAGAAGCCCCAACAGCAACTGACACAGATAGATACTCTACCCTGCCGCCCCATCTTGCCTTTGACAACTAGAGGAAGGTGAAGGCGAGGGGGTCAGGAGAAAGAAAAGGAAGAAGATTTACTATGGTTCAGAACAAGGAGCGGATCCTCGGCGGTGCGAACGCGCCGCAGGACCTCGCAGGCCTCGCTCTCGGGCAGCTCGCCCAGGAGGCGGTACAGGCAGCGGAGGCGATCGTTCTCGTGCTCTAGGTCGGCGTTGCGCCTGTCGAGGCGGATGGCGCGGCCGCGACCGGACTGCTGCGCAACGAAAAGGTGACTCGGGGTTAGCCTGTACCGCGCTCTCTCTCTCTTCCGGGTGGGCTTTCTCTTTCTCTCTTCCTCTCCTGTGGGTGGGAACATGACGTCGTGCTAGGAAGACAGAGGGGGTTAGGAGGGAAGGGGGTATTGGCTGGAAACAAAAAGGACAAGAAGAGATTAAGGGGGAACCGGCCCACACACCGACCTGGTCGACATGTTCTCCCGTCCACTCGTTCCACAACGTGACTTACCTCTCCCGAATAGCTACACTCGAGGCCGACGCCGCGGTGCCCGCAAGAGCCACAGCATGGTTTCGCGCCATCGCACTTGCACTTCCGCCTGCGGCAGGCGTCGCAGGCCACAGACGTGGCATTGTTGCTGTTATTGGCTTGATGGTGGGTCTTAGCCCGGCGATTCGATAACCGCGCTAATGAGGAAGGTGGAAAAGAAGAAGGAGAAGAAGAAAGAGGAGGAGGAGGAACGGGTAGTGGGGTTGTTGTGGAGGCAGAGGAGGAGGACGAGGACAATGATGAGAGGGAAGAGAGCGATGTAGAGGAATCCCTGGCTATGCTGCCATGCTGACCCAAGGGTGGTAGGCGCAATGATGGTGGCGGCGGCGACGGTGGAGATCCGTCGCGATGTCGGGCCACTACCACCGCCTCGCCGGGCGGAGGCGGAAGCGGAGACGGAGGCGGGCGCGTGTCAGGGGCTAGTAATCGGAGGTGCCTCATCGCTGAGGAACGAGTATACCAGGTACTGCAGACAAGGGCTCTCAGACGGGACAAGTGCTCAGGTAGATAATACCTGATTGCATCAACACAGTAGTGGTTACGGGCTAAGTAGATACGGAGAAGGCTAATACCTAACTACCTAACAAGAAATGCGCCTGAGAAGGGGGGTAAGGAAGGAGTAGGAGATGCCAGAACACGACGAGGATCCCGGCCATGATATGGGTTCGAACTACATTACATAATTACGTATGCATGCGCACACCATGGGATGGTTTCTCTCATCATCTTGACGGCCAGCCCCCGTCACTCGCTGCAGGGTGCCTGATGAGAAAAGCACCTTAGTGAGAGTCGAGGACCCGGGACGCAGGTAGGCTGCGGCTGGGCCTGGGCCTGGGACCTGCCCCGGCCAATGGGAGGTCCAGGTTTGCACGGGATCCGGTCCGTTCGCCGATGGACGGTCATGGACCCCCTTGCAAACCATCCTGCTAGATGCTGATGCTCACGAAATTCGGTAGGTCGGGGATGAAATACCTAAGGAGTCAAGAAGCAGAGTCTAAAGAAGGAAGACTGTCCTGATGCTTCATCCGCAGGATGTCCTAGACAGATTCGACATATCATCAAATGATGCATGCATAATCAACCGACTACGAAGAAAGCATGGATAGGGAAGCATGGTATCTGCGGTCGGACTTGGGGTCTGTGCCTGTGCCTGTGCCTGTGCCTGTGCCGAAAGAACCAAGACGTTGTCGTATCGTTACAGGAAGCATGCAGGTTATGTCACAGCAGCAGCATATATCCGTAACCATCCGTGGATGTGATTGCTGTTCGTTGTGATGAAGGCGACGAAAGCGGGCCGTTTGCTGATTGTTACCTGGCAGGCCTTGGCGCTTCTCAATAACCAAGAGCGTTGATGTACATATGCTACGTATTATGCACCTCACGACGTACCTGCAACGTCATCTATCGTATCTCCCGTCGTCTTGAATGTTAGAAATGCGGTGTTAACTTGGAGCGAGGAGAGTTATGGATTGACGAGCATAATGAGAACTGGAATATATAAATAGGTAGGCAGGTATTTACGAGACGTAAGATCAATCGAACATTGACTTGGGCGCTAGCCGTCACTTGCCCCCGCTAATTCCCTGATTTGTACTGGAACCAAGCCACACCTACTGCCATTTTGCTGTATTTTTGGCGACGACGACGTATGTATTAAAACGATAAATATATAGCTTTTCCAAGTAATGTACATATAGACTTATATATGTAAAATATTCGTAAACTATTTCCTATACTTAGGTACTAATAACTTATCGGAAATAATGAAACCAAGTTAATAATAAGTACTAACAAGTATTTAGCAAGTAGGAATATATGGCAAAAGTACATAAGAAATACGGGCTATTTGCGCCTCGTATATATGTAGTATTTGTGGCTAGCGCGAAGTCAATGTTCGATTGATCTATCCTACCGGTATTTACACTGTAAGATAACACAGCATAACGCGGCTTTATCAGTCTGCTACTATAGTAAAGGATGGCTTGCTTACTGATAGCTTGCTATTTAATAAGCAGTCTCTAGGTAATCGAGAAAAATTCGCATGCAGGTCACTCATAACTCACCCCCTCATGCCTAACCTCTCATACCTAATACACATGCAAAAAGAAAGCAACATGAACATGGAAATAATACAGGCGGAATTAATATAGGCAGGAGATGAATAAAAGCCAAAAAATATAAACTCTGACGAGAGTGGGACTCGAACCCACGCGGATTGCTCCATGTGGAAGATTTGCTCAGCTTTAACCTGAACCACACGCCATAACCACTCGGCCATCTCGCCATGTTTCCATTTGTTGCTTCTTCTGGAAGCTTGATGGATGGATGAGAATTTTTGTCTTAAGGGAGAATAACTAGGGTAGCCATGTGGTGGTGCGGGGCTTGAGTTTTGTGGTCTCGGCTAAAAAGGGGGGCCCGAGGGGTCGGGGGCTCCTAGAAAGAAAGGAGCTAAGACAGGAGCTTTAAAAAAGATTCAACACCAATCACATGCAACCTATCAATCCATTTACCTTCACCATCGCCCAGAGCCTCAGATTAATACTAGGTAGGTACATAGTTAGCGATTTCTCAGCAAGCGTTTCTCAGCAAGCAAAGGACATCACTTATTGCAACCTCCGTATCGTCTCTCAGCAAGTACTTAGTCATAGTCATGTTTTTCTTTCCCAAACCATCGCACTATTCATTCTATCTGCATCTGCTGCTCTTTCATTATCTTACAAACGTCGAACCTGGATCTCTGTCTATGCACAAACAGCTACCTCAGCTATGTACTAACCGACTACCTAGGAGGTACCGAGTAGTCACTAGCCACCCGCTGAATATCCGCCTCAGCACTCAGATAGCGCTACTAGTAACTCAGTAATAGGATTCGTCTACTCATCACCAAACAATCCCGCAAGAAAGGATGGAAGAAGAAATAAAAAAACCGTGTGCGCGTGCGAAAGACTGTGCTGTGCAAAACAGATCCACCCCTCCCTGTCCCTTCCGTCCCTCTCCTCCCTTTCATCCCGATACCCTCTCTTTATCAAAGCTATGCATCTCGTAGGGCAAACCTGCAAATTTCTACCAAAGCAAACAAACGCCGGCCGATATTTTCCTCAGTATACTTTAGCAAGAAAACAAAATCAAGCAGCAGAACCAGCCATCTTGATGGTGAAAATCATAACAGCAGGTAGCAGACCTCCCTTTTCACGTGTCTTATGATCAGGATACCTCGGTAGTCTACACTCATCTCAGAAATGAGTATTGTGGAGGGTGTAAAATCGTTATACCGTAAGTATTTGTAAGTGCCGTAGCAGCATAACACAGGTGGTATCCTCAATGGTAATATCTCGATGCACTACACATGGGCCTTGACATGGCCTTGGGACGCCGCACTCCAGCTTCTTGTGTCGTAGGCACGTCTTACCGACCGTACCCATTGGGCGGCGGCGGGCGCTCGTAATATGGTCTTTCTTGCGGTCTCAGCTGTTGCTGCAGTAGCGTCTGTTGTTGATGCTGCTCTCGCAGCTGCGCATCTCGCACATCTCGGATGTCCTGTCCCGGGGGTGGGTAGGGCCTAGTATCGTAAGCGCCGACCGGCGTATGGCTCCTAGGAGGACCGAAATCGCGAGGATCGCGAGGATCGCGAGAATCGCGAGGGTCCCGTCCAGGCCCAGGAGTAGCCGAGTATCGAGCGTATCCTGCTGGGGCCTGCGGAGGTGGAGCTTCCGGAGCTCGCGAGCTAGGCGCGTACTGGGGTTGTAAGGGAGGCTGCATCCTGTGTGGATGGTAGACGTCGCGAACGTCCCGGAGGGCCATTGCATCATGGCCCCGTGGTGGCGGTACGTTGGCCCACGACGGTTGGGGTGGGACGGAACTGCTAGGCGGTGGAGGTTTTGGCGCCGGCGCGTGTTGAGCAGCCCAAGCCGTCTGTGTTGGGGGTTGCGTAGGCTTTGGCTGCTGCGATGGGTGTGGTCCCCACGCCGCTTGCTGTTGGTGCGGGTGCTGGTGCTGCTGTTGCTGTTGCTGATGCTGCTGCTGTTGCTGCTGAAGCTGCTGGTGGTGTTGCTGCTGCAGTCCGTGACTTTGATGAGCGCTAGCCCAACCAGGATCGCGGCTTGGCTGGGGGGGCTCGTGTACTCTGGAAGATGGTTGGTGACCAGAATATTGTGGGGAAGGAGATCCGGCGCTTGGCGGCTGGGACTGCGGTCCATACGGATAGGACGTCTGTGGTTGGTACGACATCGGAACGGGTTGTCCTGGAGAGGAGTAGGGGTGATGTGCGCTCTGGGGTGAATTCGTAGGAGCTTGATGTGTGGAGAATGTGCGTGACCTTGAAGCAAAGTAATCACGGTCTACAGCAGCTTCTATAGGCATATGCCTAGGTGGATCCGAACGTTGCGCCTGTGGCGAGGCTGTGGCGTAGGGTTTCAACGGAGGCATAGCAGACGGCGTGCCAGACGGGTTCCGACTGTGACTGTACCCGTATGGTTGTGATTCAGGCACAGCTACCTCTCGTCTGCTATGAGTTGATGGAGGCGGCGGCTGAGGCGCCCCACCACGAGGCATACTGTTTGACAGTGGCGGTGGAGTTGATGACTGCTTAGGTGTTGAGGATACATCGGTGACTCTCTTAGGGGCGGGTGGAGGATCGTCGTTCAGCAGCGCCATCAAGTTCGAAGTTTTGCGCTCTGCGGGACGCGGAGGAGTAGGGGCAACGGCGGGTGGCATTGGCTGTAGCGGTGGAGTGCTATAGCGTTCTATAACGCCCCTCGCAGCGGATGTCGGCCGGCTCAGCTGAGCTACGGACCGTGGAGGAGCCGGCGGCGATGGATGTGAGTCGCTGAGCAGACCCCTACCGGACTGTTGTTGAAGTACGGCAGCATAAGGTGCCTGAGGAGCAGGGGCTACCGCGCGTGGAGGTTCGGGAGGCCGTGTGATCGGCACATTTTCTACACGGGATGGAGCCATGCGGCTGGGTTGGGCCTGAGCTGTGAATGGATCATATTGGCGAATAAGATCCGGCTCTTGCTTTACACGCAATGGTGGGCGCTCCGACTGTTCCTTTGCCTTGATCTCTGTTCTTTGCCGCTCTACCTGCGCATCCATCTGTGAAGTAGGTAACGGGCGTCTTGGAGGGGGCTCGGAAGTTGGCACTTGTTGTACAGGCTTTTGCCCCAGTGGGGTGCGAGTTCGGGGTTGTAACATGACATCTCGTTCTCTCTCGACGAATGAAAATGGCGGCGGTCTCATTGGCCGAGTGCTTGGGGATGAGACCTGGCTCACTGGCTGAGCGAGAGGTTGAGGTGTCACGGGACTAGGGTTGTGGCTCTGAGTTGGCGGAGGCTGCTGTTGGGACGGGTGAGCGAACTGATGTATAGTAGGCTGGGGTCCAGGTGTTATGGGCACATTGAAACGGCCAGATATCGTCGGTGGAGGATGCTCTGGCTTTGCCGGAGGGGCATCCTCCATGTTGGTGTCTGCGGCCGCGATCGGTCGGTTGCCCGAAGTCTCGTAGCGTTTCTTGATTCCGGAGACGCTGGGTGTGGGAGGCGCCGGTGTCTTCTCTCCACGTTCTCTCTTAGCATCGGCTTCGTTGACAATGGCCTCCCAACCTGTACCCGCATCCTTGCGCCGAGCATAATAGTTCTTCACCTATATTGAAAGGATAATTAGTTATGAAATCTCAAGATGATTGATTGGGAGCCACTTACCATGACGGCAGTCTTCGTCCGCATATAAGCAGCGATAGCTGCCCAATCACTGCCAAAAGATCGAAGGAGCGCTGGGAACTCGGTCGCTTCCGGTACGCTCCAGTAACTAGACGGTTGAGTGCCGGATTTGCGATCTGAGCCTCCTGTCTGGTGGAGATCTATCATTGTGACCGGGGGTTGCTGCAACGGGTCCGGGCGCAATGGCGGCGGTGCCATAACGTCTAATAGAGAGCTCGGAGGAGCGGAGGTAACAACAACCCTTTCTGGGCCAACTAGAGGTTGGCTTTGTGGGAAGGACGTTTGCATGTTGGCTGGTGGCATGGTAATACCACTTGGAGCTAGTTCAGGGTGTGTAAGGGGTCGAGGAATCTCGTGTGGCTGCTGCGGCTGCTGCTGCTGCTGTTGCTGCTGCTGCTGCTGCTGCTGCTGCTGTTGCTGCGGCTGAACTGGCCACTCAGGGCCATGAGCTCTAGAGCTCGAACGAGACCTATTCCCCTTTCCTGAAGGCGGCGCAGCAGCAAGAGCTGGCGTAACGCGTGGCTGCTTTGGCTCTTTATCTTTCGCAGCCTGACGACCTCGGCGCTTACGCTCAGGCTTTTCGGAGCTTCCCTCTCCCTTGGCACCACCTCTGCGTCCTGGAGTCCCGGTTGGTGTAGCCCCTTCCCCATCAGTAGCTGGAGTAGCTTCCGAATTAAATGTCGGCGCAGCAGCCCGGCGGGGTCTCCGGCGCTCGCCGGCTTCGCCAGTTTCTTGGTTCTCCTCGTTCTCATTATCTCCGTTACCCAATTCTGAGACGAGGGCACTAGATCTCTGCTTGCCTCGACCCTTCTTACGTTGTCTTGGTCGCTTCTTAAGTTTCTCCTTAAGATTGAGCTCTTCCTTCTCCTTCTTGAGATAATAAAACTGAATGCTGGTCCCAAAGTCTCTGTGAGGGAGCGGATCCGATACCCGTCCCCACTGTTTCGGGAACTCGAGGTAAGCCTTTTCGAAGATGCCAGATTCCTCCTCGGTGAAATTGTCGACAGGTGGCAAGACCTCCCAAGCGGCCACAACCTTCTCAGCCCGGATAAAGCCGTTCACATCCGTGTAGAATTCGTTTTCCATCTCTTGTGGTGTCTGATACTGAGTGGGCAGAATGGCCTCCTTTTCTGTTCTATACTTCTCCTTCTCCGCTCGTAGCTGCCGTTCCCTTTTCTCGTCCTCGACCCTTTTCGATTCTTCGAGAATTCTCTCCAGATCACGCTCCGAAGCATATCGACTTCGTCTTGTCGATTCGGGCTTTGGCTCAGCATTGAAGCCGGGTTTAGTTCCACTTGTTGCTTCCATTAAGCTCGGCATACACGAAAATTTCTCGCGGCTTTTAACAGCAAGCGGGTCATCTGACAAAGTGAACCGAAGATACTGCTCGTAGTTACCGGCATATATCTTTTTGGATTGCGTCTGCTCAGTCAACGTTACCTGTGCTTCACTCTTTAGCTTTTTCAGAATGAAACTATCTAAATCCGAGTGAGGTGCGTCCATGAGTTTGACAAATTCGCCGTCTTCAAACCATATTTTCTCCTCAAAATCAGGCAGGCTTTCCATTGGT